GATACCAAATGCAAAGCCAGCATCACAAAAGAAATAGCAAAGCTCAGAGCAGAACTAAATGAAATGGAATCCAAAAAATAATGATGATGCAAAGGATCAACAAAACAAAGAGTTGGTTCTTCGGAAAGATAAACAAAATTGATAAACCACTAGCCAGATTAACCAGAAATAGAAGAGAAGGACTCAGATAAACTCAATCAGAAATGAAAAAGGAGATATTAAAACTGATGCCACAGAAATACAAAATATCATCCATGAATACTATGAAAACTTCCATGTATATATACAAACTAGTAAACCTAGAGGATATGGATATATTCCTAGAAACACACAACCTCCCAAGTCTGAATCAGAAAGAAATAGAAATCCTAAACAGACCAATAAAAAGCAGTGAGATTGAGGGAGTAATAAAAAATACAACAAAAAATGCCCTGGACCAGATATATTCCCAGCCAAATTCTACCAGATCTACAAAGAAAAACTGGCACCTATCTTACAGAAAGTATTCCATAACATTGAGGAGGAGGGAATCCTCCCTAACTCATTCTATGAAGCCAATATCACCTTAATACTGAAGGTAAGAAAGGACACAACAACAAAGAAAACTACAGACCAACATCCCTTATGAACACTGGCAAAAAAATCCACAAGACACTCACAAACCTAATTCAACAGCACATCAAAAAGATAATCTACATTGATGAGGTGGGTTTCATCCCAGGGATGCAAGGATTGTTCAACATACAGAAATCAGTAAATGAGATTCACCACATGAACAGAAGCAAAAACAAAGACCATATATATGATCATCTCAATAGATGCAGAAAAACATTTGATAAAATCTAATACCCTTTCAGGACAAAAGCCTTCAAAAATCTAGGCATACAAAATTATAAAATTTATATGAAAATTATAAAAGCCATATATAACAAACACACAGGCAAAATCATACTGAATGTGGAAAAAGTTGAAAGCATTCCCCCTAGGAAATGGAACAAGACAAGGGTACCCACTGTCACCACTACTATTCAACATAATACTGGAAGTTCCAGATCAGGGGTGGAGAACCTTTTCATGTTGGAAGGCCACATTAATTTAGTTGTAATCAAATAAGGCTTCATTCAAGAAACTTAAAATGTACATTATTTTGTAAAAATCTAACTACTGTGTACTTAATAATTTCAAAAATGAGAATTATTTGTTAATTTTAAAGTTAACTAACCTTTTAATGACTTTGTTGTATCTGCTTTTTGTTGAAAAGCATGTGAATATTTGGTTGCAGCATGTAGGTCCACAGTTAGACACAATGGACAAAAGGTATTTGAAAAAATGCTCAACACCACTAATCATCAGAGAAATGCAAATCAAAACCACAATGAGATATCTTACCCCTGTCCAAATGGCTATATTTAAAAAGACAAAACAACAGATTTTTGGCAAGTATGCAGAGAAAAGGGAAGGCTTGTACACTGTTGGTGAGAATCTAAATTAGTTCAAGCCTCTAAGGAAAACAGCATGGAGATTTCTCAAAGAACTAAAAACAGAACTACCATTTTATCAAGCAATCCCACTACTAGGTATCTACCTGAAGGAAAAGAAATTGATATATCAAAAACATACTTGTACTCCCATGTTTACACAGCATTATTTACAATAGCAAAGGCATGGGATCAATTTAAATGTCCATCAGTGGATGAATGGATAAAGAAAATGTGGTGTGTGTACATAATGGAATACTATTCAGCCATAAAAAGGAATGAAAGCATTTCTTTTGCAGCAACATGGATGGAACTGGAAGTCATTATCTTAAGTAAACTGATCCAGAAAGTCACAGAAAGTCAAATATCACATGTTCTACCTCCCAAGTGGATGCTAAAAATGTGTACACATGGATAGAGAGCGTGGAATAGACAACGGAGACTCAGAAGAGTATATAGGGGTGTATGATGAGTAATTAGTTAAGGGGCACAATGTATACTATTTGAGTGATGAGTACTCTAAAAGCTCTGACTTGACCATCACCTAGTCTATGCATGTAATAAAATTGTCCACGTATCCCATAAATTTGTATAAATAAATAATAAAGTCCTGTACAGGCAGATCTTCTTTCTCCTCAATGATATTTTTTTATTCCAATAAATTTAGGGAGTATAAGTGGCTTTTTGTAACACGGATGAATTTAGTGGCATCTGGGAACTCATCTACTGCCTCTTGGTTGGCAGAAGCTGCTTCTCTTGTTGACATTTTATAAGCCAAACCTCTTTCTAAAATTATCAAATGATCCTTTGTTCACATTAAATTCCCCAGCTTTGATCCTTTGCCTTCTTTTTGCTTTAAGTTGTCATATAATGGCTTCACTTTTTCTCAAATCATATTAGAGTCTGTAAGTATACCTTTATTATAGCAACCCTGCACCCACATAAAAGCTGCATTTTCAACACAAGATAAAAATTTATTTTGCAAAAAGTGTAAGGTTTTCATGCCAGCTGGAATAGCTGCAGCAATGACTTCATGAATTTCCTTTCTTTTTTTTTTCCACAATGGTCCTTACGCTGGATTCATTATGGTACATATCAAACAGTTTAACTTTTTCTTGTAATATCATGACTCTTCTTTGCTTCCCGGGAACACTTCTAGCATCACTAGTGCCACCTGACATGGGTCTCATGGTATTATTCAAGGTTTATGGTATTGCACTAAGCATGATGAAAAATACGCAAGAACTGCAAGAGATCACTTTTTACTGCAGCACACAATTAACTGGAGACATGAACTGCTCAGAACTGCTCACACAGAGATGATTAGTGTCACATGCCATTTTAGGTGGATACTTACAATACTTGAGCTCACCACAATAGCAACAGGAGGTGGATACAAAGTTATTACAGTAGGGCTGGGCATAGTGGCTCATGCCTATAATCCCAACACTTTGGGAGGCCAAGGTGGAGGATTGCTTGAGGCCAGAAATTCAAGACCAAACTGGGCAACATAACAAGACCTGGTCTCTACAAAAAAAAAAAAAAAAAAAAAAATTTAATTAGGCAGGCATGGTGGCATGTGCCTGTAGTCCTAGCTGCTTGAGAGGCTCAGGCAGGAGGATCACTTGAGCCCAGAAGTTTGAGGCTGCAGTCAACTATGATCATGCCATTGTACTCCAGCCTGGACAACAGTGCAAGAACCTGTCTCTAAAAATAAAATAAAATAAAATAAAAATAAAATTATTACAATACTACAGTACATACTACAGTTAATTTTGTGCCATTAAGATTTCATACTGCAGCTTTACATTTGTTTACATTTCTCTCAACTGTGAATGGTGCCATGTACAGTCTCTGTTTACATAAGTTTTGAAAAGTCTTAACTTTTTATCATAGTTTTATGTATATTTCATACTGGTAAATAAGACAGACTAGTATCTGCATAAATTTTATATATTCATGACATACCCAACTGTTTCTTAATTTCTTAGAAATTTCTACATTATGTGGTTTATCAGAGTTTTTTCAAATTGTCACAAATCTGCAAAAAAATTTCAATATTTTTATTGATAAAAATTTACGTATAAGTGGACCAGTGCATTTCAAACTCATGTTGTTCAAGTGTAAACTGTAAATTGATACACTAACAATATACAACCAACAGTATATGAGGCGCCTATATCTAAATACCATTACTAGTAATCTCAGATGTTAAGTGACCTGCTCAAGATCACATGCCAGGGCCTAGAATAAATTTCAGATAATTATCAGTAATTATCATCACCTATGTACATTTTAAAAGTTTGTAAATTTGCACTTATGAAATGCTGAATAAAAGGCCATCAGCCTTTTACTCCTCTAATTAAAAAAAAATCTGGGTGAAGGATGAAGAATTATCTATGTAACAGGATTCAACTTATACTCCCTTAAACCTACTAAAATTCTTTATAAAGGAAAAAAATTCTTTCTGGTTGAGTTAAAGTTTAAAGAATAAATGCAATAAATGCAACATCTTTAAATGAAAATAAAGTTAAATATTAACTCAAAAATAAGAGTAAAAATATCCTTGAAATGTAAAGACTATTAAGTCATTTAATCAAGATTTCAACTTTACATATTTCCTAAACCTATCACCTTTAACTATGAAGTTATCATATATTTTTGAGGGAATATATAGAAACAAACAATGATAACTAGTTTGGGGGATGTCTGTCTGTTTTTTGTTGTTGTTGCTTTAGAGTCAGGGTCTCATTCTGTCACCCAAGCTAAAGTGCAGTGTCACGATTTTAGTTCACTACAACCTCAAACTCCTGGGCTCTTGTGATCCTCCTGCCTCAGGCTTCAAGTAACTGGGACTACAGTTGCATGCAACCACATCAGGCTAAGTTTTTTTGATTTTTGTAGCGACAAGGTCTTGCTGTTCCCCAGGTTGGTCCAAACTCTTAGGCTCAAGCAGTCCTCCCACCTCAGTGTCCCAAAGTGCTGGAATTACAGGATAACTGGTATCTTACCACTACATTTCAATTATAGAAAACCAACTGATTACCACTGAAATCAAATAAAATGAGGTAGTGATTCTTGGTATTCACTACATTTTCTGACCTGGGACAAGCAATGGAAATTGAAATCTGATCTTGTTTAAATAGATTTCTTTTCCTACCTAGTTATGGTAAAATAGACTGGTTCAAATATTGCTTTTTCCTATAATGTACTATGATAACATGTGAACACTGAAACTCAGCGTATCGATACATGGTAGTAACTCAAAATGAAACTTTTATAAAATACTTTAACCTCAATATATTTACATCTCCCCAAAAGATGAGTGGTTTTTTTGCATTTATACACATGAACTCAGATCAAAGGTCTCTAAGAGGACAAGGCAAAAACCAATGTTAAGATAAATTGGCATACATAAAGTAATAGGATAACACAATATCATTAGTTGCATATTTTTCCTACTTTGTTTACTTATTTTTCTAATGAAAACAAAATATGCGCTGGTATTTCTTACATCGAAAGGCATGACTTCCATACGTCACATCAACACTTTGAAGTAGCTGAGACCAACAATGTGGGACCTCATAACATTTACCCTAAAAGATAAGTTGCTGTGCTCACCCTCTTGGATCAAGGTAACAATCTTCTTTCCTGCTCTTTCTTACTTTGAGTAAGCTGTTGACACTTACTGAGTATCCAATTACCCCATCATTATCTTAGTCTCCTGCCTTTGTCTAGTTCTAAAAATGGAAAAATATTTTAAGAACAGCATGGAAAACACTGTATTTGGAAGGACAACAAAATGTGAACTTGAAACTACAAAAAGAATAATGATACCAAAAATTTTTAAGGTTTGGAATAATTCCATAATTTGTATGAATATTTAATGATGAAAGTATGTGGTTTTCTCAAGCTATTAGTATATCATGGATTTAAAAATCACTACCAAAAGATTTTATTTTCAGTCTAGTGCTCTTACCAGTAAGTAAAAGTCATTAAATAAACTAGCAAGCTTATGTTGTTACCAGTATCAGTCTTCCACGTAACTTCAAGATTTTGCCAAGAGCCATCTTCATGTATATATTTTTTTCCTTTCCTCATAAATAATCTTGGGTTGTAAAAATAATACATCATTGCTCTCTTATGAGAAAACTAATAAAAATTACAAAAAAATGCAAACTTTTCAGTAATGTTTACTTTTTAAAAAGACAAAATCACTAAGCTTATATATAAAGTTAAGTGTCAAATTAGTAGATAAAGGCATAAAATGTATATGTTCAGTTCTTTTTAACATTTTTGTTGACATATATTAGTTTGCTTTCTTGGTCTATTTCCGATTGTAATTATTTTCATAAGAGCCCTGGCTGAAATTCTAGTATAATATAGAACTCAAGTGAGTTCAACAGAGATTCATTCATATGACTATCCACTATGAACAAAGGTTTTTTTTAAACACCAAAAACCTAACACTTCTTAAAGGATTATGTTTGGGGGCTTCCTAAATTGTTTAAAAGATCAATATGAAAAATTCTTGTAAACAGTTCAGTTCTTACTGGGCCTATGTCCTTTTAACTTAAAAGGCTTTATAGTATAATTGCTCTGTAAATATCAGAATTTTCCATATCTTGTGCAATATACACAAAGAAGTCATCAAATGGCTTATCTTGTACTTATCAACTTGTTTATTTTTATACCTCCAAAAAGCTGTATTTTTTTACAAGAACAGCTGCTACTTTGTAAATATTTTAATGGTTTCTCTTAAGTAGAGCTGTCAGTTTAACAAACAATCTTATAAAAGATTTTCATTCTTCCATGTGACTGCACATCTTGAAATGTGTTTTACATTGAAAATCCTTTGGAGATTTTAGACTGGAAAGGATATCTCCTTTGAAGGAACAAAGCCAACAAATGAATAGATAGACTTAAAGAATAATGTATAAGATCACCAGAGAAATAGTGCCATTTATTTTAGAAGACAAATAGTAACAGGAATAAGTTCTCTTAGCTCACTTCTCTTCTTTTGACTCAGGCGATTTGTTGAAATGGAACAGCACTGGCTTTGTGCCAGACATTTCAGGTATGAACCTTGATTCTTTTGCCACTTAATAGATATTGGTTTAGAGCAAGCCAATTAACCTCTTTGACCCTCAGTTTCTGTATCTGCAAATGGGGTAATGATACCTACCTTACAGGGTCATTATGAGAATTAGAGATAATATATGTAAATGACCTAACTGAATAAAGGTGGCAATTATTATTCTATCCTACCTACCTAGCAACCAGGAATCTCCCAATCATTCTTTAGTCTTTGTCCTTTACATTTTTATTCACTCAGCTTATCTCTTCTTTCTTTTTAGTCTACTTCATGGAATTCAAAGTAAGAAATATTTTAGAGATGATCTAATTTAGTGCTTTTGTTGAACAAATGAGGAAATAGAAGCTCAGAGAGATTAAATGACTTGTCCAAGATCACAGACAGTTAAAAATGAAGATCAAAATCCTGTTCTCCTAAGTTTTTCACTGTTTCCCTTCTCTCTGTGGAATGAAATTTGATAAGGCAATTCTATCCTGAGTCTGAAGGAGCATATATAAGATAAGATAGCAAAAAAAGTAGTTCAAGAGACAAGAAAAGGAAAAAGATTAAAGAAAAATGAGTAGGGAGAGCTTTTCCCTTTTGTTCTAGGGCAGGGCTCAGCACATTTTGTAAAGGACCAGACAGTAAATATTTTAGGCTTTGCAAGTCCAATGGTCTCTCAGTTACTCAACTCTGACACTGTAACACAAAAGCAGCCTTAGACGATATGCAAAAAAAAAACAAAAAAAAAAGTGACTGTGTTCCAATAAAACTTTATTTGGAGATGGAAATTTTGAATTTCATATAATTTTCACATCTAAAAGATGTTTTCTTTTGATTTTTTCCAACCATTTGAAAGTGTAAAAACTGTTCTTAGATTATGAATCATACAAAACCAAATACAGTGCTATATTTGGCCCATGGGCTGTAGTTTGATGACTTTGTTCTAGAGCAAACTCAATGCTTCTGGGAGTATTAGCCTGATGATAAGTGGAACAGATACTCAACCTTGGTGCCAAGTAAATAATAGGGTTTGAGAGGACTAGGATGCGGTGGAGTGTGTTCCTATCCCACTAATGTGGGAAATAGCCATTATGGTTTAGGAGATTGCTGCTCTTAGGAAATAGAGGCCAAATATTGCCAAATCTTCTGACTTTTCAAAAATAAGCCAGAGCTCTGGCTTTTTATGTTAAATCTCCCAATTTCTAAGTGTTTTAAAATAATTCAAAATAATTTTTAAATGGTGTAAGTCAAACATCTATAAAATTAATTTGGGAAAACAAAGCAAAATTCTAGGTAATTCATGCTTTCTAGCAAGCAAAGTCAGTATCTTTCAGCCTAAATCCTTATCCTATTCACCGACTGAACACAAAGTTGACTAAAATGTAATAGGTCACTCAAGCTATAATCTACTCTGTACCCCATCCTCTACCCTACTCCCACAAAAATTATGCTTATTTGTAGTTTAAGACATTAAACATTGTTTACTATATGGCACCAAAATACTAGTCATGTCCAGCACCTTCCCTGGAATTCAGTAAACTCAATATTATATTTTGTAAATAAAACCAAAAAATTATAACTATAACCTAAGTACCAAATTTAAAATAGTTAACATATTCTTTTTTTATAACTCTTTTCTTTTGGTGACATTTCCCAAAATTACAACCACATTAAATTGCTGCTACTGTGGTAAATGAAGGTAAAATCCTACCTTCATTTTATCCTCAATAAAACACAATTTAGGCATATTTATAGGTATAAATAGTGGCAATAATAAGTCTCTTTGTATCTTCTAAAAACTTTTATTCTCTACTGATGTGTTATTACTATTTGTTTATTTCTTCTTCCCCCCTCTCCCTGCCCTACGATCAAACTGTAAGCTCACTGAGGATAGAGATTATGTCTTCTTCATCTTTATATACCCCAATAAGTAGAGCAATCTGCACAGAGCAGACCTTCAATAAATGTTTGCTTTTATAAGTGAACAATCAAACATAATTTTCACATGTGAAAATGAAACCATCTGAAAACTCCATTTACTGATAAATATTCATACATTATCATTTTTGTTTCATGAATAGCAAAGAAAACAATTGGCCCATGCAGTGGTATTCTGGAAAATAAGTATGCTGATGCTACATTTTTTATCCTTAAAATAGTACTTAACATATCCAAGCAGAATTTATTACAGAAAGTTGTGATAAATCTAGAAACTAGTTAAATGGCTTCAGTACTCAGGCAACTATAAAAACAAGAAAAAGGATCATGCTTGGAAGAAAGGAGAGTTAATTGCATTTTGCTTGCCTAGCTCCTCCCTTAGCACAGAAGGAATAGAAGGAAATTTAATTCAAGCATTCTAGCTTGTCTGGAGCTGCCTGAGGGACTGGTATCTGTCTTGCCTGGCTCATGGCTCTGATAAGAATGGTAGTGGCATAGTTTGGGTATAAGATTGGAGGACACTGAAAACAGAGGTGAGTGCATTAGCACACTGGAGCAACAAAGACACTGCAGTTCTGCAGACAGGTTCCAGGGGAAGCAAGAGATTAAGGGCAGAAGAATACAACAGAAACAGAAAACTCCTGAGATGATACAGGAAAATAAGACCGTCAAAAGCACTCAGATATACGAACAGTGAATGCACAACCGCAAAGAAGATGCATCCCCAGAAAAAGTCTTAAAGGTTTCAGAACCTCTATCCAGGCTGATTGGTAAAAGTCTTCCCCTGAATAAAATCATTCTGTAAAGACTGAGAAAAGTGGCTGTTTCTTCAAATGCCCAAATCTCAACAAAAGACCACATGGCATACAAAGAAACAGGGAACCATGGCCTGATCAAAGGAACAAAATTAAGCTCCTGAAACTGACCATAAAGAAATATAGACCTATAAGCTGCCTGACAAAGAATTTACAATAACTGTCTTAAAGATGCTCAACAACCTAAAAGAGAACACAGAGAACTACACAAAATCAGCAAGTCAATGCATGAACAAAATAAGACTATGGACAAAAACTATTTTTTGAAAAACAAATTATAAACTTAACAAAAATCAACGAACTTAAAGATAGCACATTCGAAATTATGTAGTCTGAGAAGTAAAGAGAAAAATGAACAAAGTTAATAGAACCTAAGAGATTTATGGGACACCATCAAGCAGAACAATATATGCATACAGGAGTCTTAAAAGGAGAGAGAGAGAGAGAAGGGGACAAATAACTTACTTGAAAAAAGAATGGCCACACACTTCCTAAGTCTGAGAAAAGAAATAGACATACAAATTCAAGAAGCTTAATGAACTCCAACTTATGATAAACATAAAGAGACCTACACCAAGAAACCAAGACACATAATCAAACTGTTGAAAGTCTAGAGAGAATCTTGAAAGTCACAAGAGAAAAACAACACATCATATACAAGTGAGCCTAATAAGATTATCATTAGATTTCTCAGTATAAAATGTGTAGGCCAAAAGGAAAGGGATCTTATAGTGATGAAAGAAAAAGCTATCAACCAAGAATAATCTATCTGGCATAACTGTCCTTCAAAAACAAAGAAATTAAGATCTTTCCAGATAAACAAAAGCTATTTACTCTTGCCCTATATTAAAGAGAGTCCTTCAGATTGAAACAAAATGATGCTAGACAGCAACACAAAAGCATATGCTTTCATAAAGTGAAAACATAAAGTTCTCCAGTAAACATATAAATAAATATAGAATCCTATATTATTGTAATTCTGGTACATAAATTCACTTTTAATTCTTGTATAGACTCCAAAAGAATAAAGCACACAGACACAAAAACTAAATCTATGTTAATGGTTATACAATATATAAAGATATAATTTATGACAATAACATAAAGGGGTGCAGAGTTGTAAAGGAGTATTTTTGTATCCAATTTAAGTTAACTTGTTATCAATCTAAAATGCTGTTATAACTTTAAGATACTTTCTGTAATTGCAATGGTAACCACAAAGAAAATATCGTACAATGCACACAAAAGGAAATGAGTAGAGAATCATAGTATGTCAGCACAAAAATCAATAAAACACAAAG